TTTTTCTTCCGCTAAAAACAGACACCCTAATCCACAAGTCAATCTAAATTAGAAGAAAAAGGGCATTCAAGAAGTTTGATGTTGGACCAAATGGAAAACTCCCGGTTTTATTAGCTATTTTATATTGGAAACAAAAAAGACAAGAACAATAAAAACAGAGGACAGTATATTCATCAAGAGAAAAGAAAACCTAAATCCAGGATAATACTGTCCAGTTTAGTGCAGGTTAGGCTACTGTGGTTTACAGAGAGCTGGATGTGACATCCTAGGCAAATACTCGGGGCTCTTGTGGACTCCCTTGGTGTGGTGTGTCCTGTGGCAGAAACATTTAGGGTAATAGCTTGTGAGAAATACTTTTGATGACCCCTCCACCTCCACTTCCCTTACACTCGAAGGCCCTCACACCCCGTGTGACCCAGGGGCAGATGACAAGTGACAGTGTCCTCATCCAGTTAACCAAAGCATAGGCCTCTCCAGAGAATTCTTCTGGTAGAGTCTGGAATCGAAGTGGAACCCCTCCAGACTCTCAACTACTGGGCCCCAGAGGTGGAAAAAAGTATATGATGCTATTTTTATATATAGTGTGAATATGTCTGACTAATATTAGTTCAACCAAATTCAATACTGAGTCAGTTCTAGGTTCCAGAGATTCAAAGCACCACGGTTTGAGACTAGAGAGTGTTGTGGATCCTCAAACATCAAAACAAGAATAAGATTTGTGTAAACTCCATTAGAAAGGGCCCGTAAAAGTGTAAGAAGACATTTCTCAAAAAAACTTAACGAATGTGCTACAAAAATGATATACAATGCAGGGTGTCAGCTATGGTTTCTACTTGGTTAGAATACAGATTAACCTTAAAACCCACCAGTGTTGTGCAAATTAGAAACATCTCAATCTATCCATAATTTCCAATTATTATATACATGCCACTAAAGATGGCAAAGAGCCCTGGTGGCACAGTGGTTAAGAGCTTGGCTACTAACCAAAAGTCAGCATTTCAAACCCACCAGCCACTCTGCAGGATAAAGATATGGCAGTCGGCTTCTGTAAAGATTACAGCCTTGGAAACCCTATGGGACAGTTCGACTCTGTCCTATAGTGTCATTATAAGTCAGAATTGACTCAATGGCACACAACAACAAAGATGGCAGTACAGGGATTAGACATCAAAATATAAAGCCTACATTCGTACCTTTCAAATGCAATATTTTTAGTATCGAGGCTGGTGTTGATGACTGGGCTGGTGAGCCGCCTCTCAACTTCCCTGCTTTTTGGCTTCATCAAGTCTAGAGTGAGGCGCTCCATCTCCTGAGAGAGGTCAAAGTGTTCAGTCATGACCACTTTGTCATCGTGGTTGACTTCCATCAGCTCCGCCCAGTTGTCTGTGAATAGAAACAAGGGCATAACTAAGCGCAATGCAAAGAAGATGCAAAAGCAAAGAAGCCTTCTATGTTAAAATGCATCATCTTTCAATTTTTTCCTCCCAGGTGCTATCTGATAAAACCTGAAGAGTACTGATTATCGATTACCTACTTGCACAGGGATTATCTGGCCTGCTTTTCTTGAATTAGGAGGCTTCTGGGCCATCGCCCCCAAAGATACAGACTTTTAAAAA